TTATTTGGGTTTAAATCCGTGCTAAGGGCATGGCGAGGCTGTAGAGTGATGCCATGGTGTTGGATTAAATCCTGTGTAACACAGGAAGTGTGCGCACATGCATTATCTTGCTGGAACCGGAAGTTAAAATTTTGTCTGTGTAGAGGAACATAAGAACTTCTACTAAAGCAGCATTGATACCTTGACCTCGACTTTGGCCTTGATTTTAGAAGACCATTGGCCCTACTTTGTGATTCAACCCGAGATCGTGCCACTATGTCTCCCCAGCTATTCCTCTTTATGACACAGTAGTCACAATAACGTTCGCCTCCCTCTTGATAAACTCTGAGGCCCCTGTTTGTTGTGGAGAACAAGCATCGTCCGAAAAAGGGAACCTAAGACCAGTCTCTCAGACGCCTGTTGACATGGTGCTGGGCCCAGTTAAAACGCTCGTGCCGATGATGAGCCGTGGACCATGGTAAGGTCGACGGCGTGTGAGGCAGACCTGACGCAACAGTGTGTCGACTACTTGCTCTACCTAATCTGAGGTTCTTGTACAGCTGTCTGAAGTTGATTTGAACGATACATCCGGACAATGCGTTTGTATGCACGTTCACCGGTTGTTCAGGGTTGACCTGACCTTTTTCGTCCACTGTAGATTTCGTGAGCTGAAAACGGCTTATCAGTCTGTCGATAGTCGAGATGTGAACACCAAAATGATTGGCGACCATACAGATCTAGCCCTTAAATACAGCACTGTCGTTGCAAATGCAGGCGAAACGGCGGAACTGATATTTTTACCACGACTTTCCAGCTGAGATAACCCATTTAATCAGTGTTTCGAAGGCACCACGTGGCTTTTCCAAGCTTCAATTAAGGAGAAATAACTCTAGTTTGCGAAGACAAGCACGACAAGCAACTTTTGATTTCTAAAGAGCATTTAACATACTATCAATGGTGGTGTAAATTTCAGTCCTTTACCCTTGATGGTTATTTAGTTATGGTCCAAATAGTTTTTTGGGTTTCTTTTGCTCGCTAGTATAAATATACATATATATATATGTGTACGTGTGTGCGTGTGTGTGTGTGTGTGTGTGTGTGTGTGTGTGTGTGTGTGTGTGTGTGTGTGTGGGGGGGGGTGAGTGTGTATTTCTGTAAACCTGTGTGCCGTGTGCCATTTAGTGTCTGTGAAAGCTTGTGTGTAGATATGCCTGGGAGTATGTGGACACGCGATGCGCATAATAATATGTTTGTGTGCATGTGTTTGTATAATGTGCTCTTGTATGGTTGTGAGCAAGAGTTATAATGTGTTCAGTTGTATTTTTGCTAATAACATGTTAATCTAAACGTTTCTTATCCGCACTGGGCTAAACCAACTTCCGACTTTCGTAAGTTTAATTCTCAGTCACAGCTGTCAAGCCTTGAAGACTCCAGTACTCCAATACGTTGATACCTAAATTATTACGGATAATGCTTGCGTTCGTAGAATGTTAATTCCACTTTCTACGACCTCCCGATTTTGAGACTGAAATTCAGTGCTTTCAAAGCGATTTACATCAAAATTGAAAGAATGGCATCACTCGAAGATTATACTAGACTAAGCTTGTAGAAGCACTAAACCCGCGATATCTTCTTCACGCTGGATTCTAAGCTGAGGTGCAAGCAAAGACTGCAGGTGCCTAACTCGAAAACATGAAAACGAGTTTTTAAAAAATATTAAAATATTTTTTAAAAGTTAGCTTGACGTTAAAGAAAGTGCTACACCTAGGCTTTCTAAGTAGAAACCGCGTAAACCGCAAGGGTGGCTCAGGAATTGAAGGCCGGCCAGGTTTTTAGTGAGGCGAACTAAAATCAGTGCGAAAAGCGGCGATAAACAAATATGCTAAAATGAGTGATGGAGCATCCTTGCATGTGCTCACAATATTGGCCAACAATGCATTGTTTGTTGCTGTTTCTTTTTTGAGACACTTTATCCCTTTTTATAACAAAGGAAGATCACATCAGTGACAGAGCGTATGAATTCGTTATCTTAAAAATTAACTACATTCATATTTACCCTAGAATACAGTAAATGGAATCACGAAGTGTGTTTTTCAGTTGCGACAGACACAAGGAGCATCGTTCTCGCACTCCTAATAATAATATTTAGCTTTTAGGATAGAAGATATTTTAACTGAATCCAATCAGCTGTTGATAAAGAAAGCAATCACTTACCTTTAATAAATTACTATAATTTGAACAACATGATGACAACTTTGCAGTTTTTCTCATCATCTGTATTTTGTACTTCGAGGTGCTTAGTTGAGAAAATATTTCATTGAAGATGTTAGCCAACAACATCAGCACACTCTATGTAATGAGAGTGTCAATATGAAAAATCCAAAATCGCAACTAGTTTTGCGCCTGAACAACTTTTTCTGAGGTTTATGAAAAAAAACAACAACAAAAAGACAACAATAACAACAACAAAACAAAACAAAATACAAACAAAAAACGAAAAACAAACAACAACAACTACAAAAAAGGAGGCGGTGGCCATGGCGAAGAGCACGCTCTTCGGGGCTCCCAATATTTCAAACGGATAGACTACCACACACGCACACACACGCACACACACACACAGACACACACACACACACACACACACACACACACACACACACATACTTACACAC